ATCAACAATTAGATGGGCACGAGGCTTCCAGCTGTCCCACGCCGGTGGATAGCCACGACAGCGGACGAGGTAACTCGTCCGGACGCCATTCACATCGCGGTGGTTCAAGATACGCTCTACCAGAAAGCGTTGATTACCACCATATTCTACCAAAGGATGTGGTGGTGGCGAAAACACCTGATCCGGCTCGAGGGTCGGATCAGCTTGATGATCAAGAGCTGAACTTTCTAACGGAGTAGTTGCAAGATGACCTGGCTTATAAAGATCTCGGCGTTATGGACTTGAGGATCATGTATAAGATAATCACAATTTCCTAACACGATCATTCGGACGATCGTGCCGCTTTTGCATTTGTGCAACTTAAGAACGAACGTTCGATTCGTTCTCTTCGTGCCGAGCTGACTGCAGCTCGTCAAGATATAGCTCAGCTGCGTGGCAGGTCGCTTCGCTAGTCGGACAGACTGACTTGCTGATACGGGACCACTCGAATGTGGTCTCGGTTCTCGACCGCGGAGGTGCTCTTCGCATCTCGAAGCGGGCTAGTACTGATAGTACGGGCGGAGACGTCCAACGCTAAACGTAGGATGCATACGCACCTTACAGGGCAGTTCAGTCGTGTATGCGTTGCCCATTCGGCGCAACACACAAAATGGACTGATGTACTTGGGCAGTAATTTTACTGCTGCCCACGTTTATCGCTGCGTGTTTCGGTAGGTTTACTGTAGACAGCAAAACTAGGTCTCCTTCATCAAAAGAAAGAGCATTTGCTCTTCCATGTTTGTCTGCGTTTCTCTTATGTCTGTCTAATGCATCTGCAATAGAGTCTTGAACGAAGTGGAAAACCGCTTCGCGAGTCAGCAGAAATACCTCTGCTGATTCATCCTTGTCAACAGCAGTGCGCTTCGTGTGCACTGCTGAAAAAGAGCGCTTCGTGAGCACTGCTAATAGAATGTAGTCTTCACCAGTGAGGGCGTCATCGTACTCACTTTGGCGGGCATTGGCGATGCTGAATATGCCAGCATCGTCGCCATCATCGACATCGATCCCATCGATATCGGCATCCATCACGTCAACATCATTGTCGACGGGTGATGAGCAAGAACCAGATTAGTTTTTGCTCAAGCGAGTCCACCCTTCCCCCTCTTAAACTAAAGTCACACTCTAAAAAGGCGAGTAAACATGGATGGCGTAGGCCATTTTACGAAGAACGGTGTATGCGTTGTAGAAGCGTGCACCAAATTGTTGATGGAAAATTCCGCCACTGGCAAGAACTCACTCCAGCTCGTAAACGAGTAAACATACCCTCGAAGTATCTCTTCGAGAACGCGGTTGACGCGTTCCATTTGACCATATGTTTCGGGATGGTCAGAAGTTGAAATCATCAAACGTGTTCCAAGTGAACGGAACACGGATTGCCCAGAATTCCGCTGTGAAGCGGGGGTCCCTATCGGACACGAGTTCACGGGGTAACCCGTGAAGTCGGAAGATAGTATCAATGAAGACACGAGCACAGCCCTGGGATGTAATTGACTCCGGTACAGCAACAAGATGTACCATCTTGCTGAACCGATCAACAAACACAAAAATTCGAGTATTCTTATGAAAATCTTTAGGAAACCCGAAGACGAAGTCCATCGATACGGACTGCCAACACTCTGCCGTAATTGGAAGAGGCTGTAAGGGTGCGCGGGGTGAAGGACTAGGCTTCAACCATTGACAAACTTCGCAAGCGCGAATGCATTGCCGCACGAACTCATACTGGCGGGGCCATTAGAAGTCACGACTCGCCGTGAGGTAAGTCTTTTCCCTACCGCGATGCCCACTTTTTGGGGCATCGTGACACCCGTACATGATGCGCAATCGCGAATAATCATGATTGGAACCGACGACACGAGGTGTGTCACCATTGACTGCTGTATAGTACAGCAGTCCATCACGTACAGAATACCGTTCGGTTGAAGAGCGGTATTGAGTCGGCAAGCTTTTCAAAGCTTCACTGCATGAATTGGATACGTAATCCATCAACCGCAGAAGAGACTCATCTTCTGTGTTTGCTTTTCGCACGTCATCGAGCTTACTCGACTACGGGACACTCACTGTTTGTGTCGCGACAGTGGAATCACCCCTACTGTTGAATTGAGGAGTCGTCTTGAAATCGGGCCGACGCAAAAGAGCATCAGCGACGACAGTAGGTCGTCCTGCTTTATTCTAGACGGAGAAGTAGTTCTCCGCGAAGAAAAACATCCACCTCACCATTCGTTGCGAGAGATATGGACTGTTTACGACCGTGCGTGACGATGCATGGTGGGTATAAACGATGAAGGGCCTATCTCCTATGAGATATACCCGAAACTTGGGCAGTGCATATTTCATGGTAAGGTGTTCCTTGTCATGCACCGGATAATTTTGCTTAGCTGCTTGCAGCTGACGTGATTGATAAAAGACGACGCGCTCAACGCCGTCTGAGCCATACTGCATTAACGCATAGCAGATTTCAAAACGCTGGCATCACAGACCATTTGAAATGTCCTATCCTGATCTGCAATCGCCAACACAGGCGATTGTGGCAAGCTTTTCTTGATAACTTCGAAGGAGTGCTGACACACAGCACTCCATGACCACCTTTCGTTTTTTATTAACAAACGAGAGATTTAAGGTCATTTCAACATAGTTGCGCGAGTATTTGTGCAAATACGCTGCCAAGCTAAGGAACTTTCGAAGTCCCTTGACGTCGACTGGCACAGGCCAGTCGCTAGTCGCCTTGATCTTTTTCGAATCAGGGCGTACACCGTTTTTACCCACGATGTAGCCAAGATGTGGTATTTCGTTCGCTGCGAATATTCACTTCTTGAGGTTCGCGAACAACTTATGCTCTCGCATTAGAGAATGAACCTTCTGGATGTGGATTCTATAAACCTACACTTCCGTCGTTCCATCCACAGCCCGACTATGGACATGGATATCGTCGAAGTAACCCGGTGCATAGTCGCGCACCGTTTGCAACAGAATTGTAACACATCTGTAAAACGTTGCGGGGGCGTAACCTAGTCCCTGTGGCATCACTAGACACTCCTAGAGCATACCACTGGGGATGCTCACTGCTGTTTAAGGGGTGTCCCGTTCTCGCATGAGAATCTGATAGAATTCATCCATCAAATCCATGGACGAAACGATGGTACTCTTTGCCATGCCATCTATGATGGCATCCTTTTTTTGGGATCGGCGTTTGAGCCGGTACCGTTGTAGCGTTCAATTTGTTGAACGCGTGCACTATCCGCCACCCCCTGTGGCCTTTCGCATCCAGAAGGTCGGAGAGCTGTGCAGGGATGTTGATTTTCTCACATGACCAGCCGCCAATCGATCGGCAAAGAATTTGTCGATCGCTGTGACCTGTTCACGAGTCAGTGGCCATTGCTTCATGACACAGTATTTCGAACCGGGTTTCAGTTCGATCTCATGCCGAGCGCCTTTGTATTTGGGCACCTCGCATGGCACAGATTCCGGGAAAACATCCCTAAATTCAACCAAATAAAAAAAAATCCTTACACAAAGGATTTGTGTGAATCTACTCCCAAGATTAAGACGTGTATCGCTCAATCCGGGTCTTATCATTGAGAAAACTCTCGTCCATCGATGAGCTGCTATAAACTTGTTCGTTCTCATCAAACACTTGTGCTGACCGAATACCAGCGACGTACTGTTCCTCTGTGACGAGTAAGCAGATCTGCTTGATCTTGTCACTACGCAGATCTCGCAAGAATCTATTAGATTCTAGCGTTGGTAACTTGACCACCTCCGAAGCTGACTTCGAATGCGTCACCAGATCAAGTGTATAAGCGCCTACACTTGATCCGTCATTCACCAAGACATTAACTGACTCGGTGATTCCTGGGAAAGCACATCCGCAGATTTGAAGATCCACACCCTCAACCTAACTCTCTCGGGAGTTATTGCTCTCAGGATTTCTTTCGTTACGGGTACTATCACGGTCACGTCCTCTTCGATCGACTCTCTTTCAGTCGAGCGGTCTTGCTCTACGATCGACTCTCTGATAGTCGATCTCGCTTCAACGTGTTGTCAATCCTGAACAACACTAGTCTTTATTCTCGGATGCACCCTTCTTAATGTGCATCCGTGCTCCAGTCCACTAGATGTCTTCGAGTGGTGAACCTTCGGCGCATCCTGTGTTCTACACAGGTGCCGGAAGCTGGTTCCACAGTGCAGTGGCCTTCTGCACTGTGATCTTGTGCAATCGTACTAACGTCCGTGCCACAAGTGAGGCCATCGTGCTTACTCGAAGTACGTCCGCACGCTTGTGGACGCTTTAAGACGTTCATCAGATGGCCATCCGATGAACAAACGGCAGGCATCTTCACGGATCGATGCTGCCAGCTAACCCATGGCCAATACTTTCTAAGCCATGGCAGAACAAGGATGACATCAAATTTCTTAGAAATCCAGTACGATAAAGTCATCATCGTGTTGTTTTTAGTCTAGCGTGTAGTGGATTCCCACTTCACGTTTGTTCACTGTTACGGATGCGCCTGTAGCAAGTCACACCGTCATCCTCGTTGGAAGAAACTCTCGATCAACATAGTTGAGCCTACTATCCTTTAGCGACTGGCGTCGGATAAAACAGTTCGACGGTCCACAGTCAACTAGGGCGCGAAGTGACATTCCACTTGTCACTTCGATCTTCAAAGTGAAAAGAGACTCCTCATAACGAGGAGCAGTAACACACAGCGACTGTGTGTTCGGAGCAATCTTCGTCAAGATTCTTGCAAATTCTCTTGACGTCGCCGGATCAGCAGGGTGCTCCGCCCCTACTGTCCCTGGCCATTTTTGACGGTCCGACTTGCTGTCGCGGCTTGGCGACATGGTCGGACCCGCGCCTCGGACTCTTCCTTGGCCAACGGCGGTCATCACGTTCTGTCTTTGGAAGTGTTGCAATTTTAAGACACTGCACTCATGAGCGTAGTGCCAATCTTCTGACATCGATGTCATCTTGCCGTTCGCTGGTGACTCAGAGAGCGAGAGTTGTCGCTCTCGATGTAACAGAGGTCCACTGGTTCAGGACCTCCTGTCTCCTGTCGTCTCGTCAGTAAATAGTTTGACGAGTTAGACTGAGACTGTCTCAGGCTGAGGTCTTCCTGTTTCGCATACGCTATCGCCTTTTCCAGCGTATGGAAGTCCTCTCGGAACATGTAGGTCTTTACCGGCCCGTCCACAAGGCTGTAAATGAATACGTTGATGAGCGTGTTCTCGTCAACATGGTTCTCCGTAACGCTACTTGCAAGGTAGCGCAGGTTCTGAGCGTAAGCTTGCACGTCACGCTTACCTTGCTTTAGCTTCAATAGTGCAGATCGTGCTCTAAACTCGGCTCTCGGCGTCTCAAACGTCTTTTTAAGCCGAGACTCAAAGATCTCCAACGACTTAAACCCGATTAGGTCGTGAAGCCCGAGCCCTAAGGCCCAAGTCTTTGCTCGTCCCGTCAAATTTGGCAGGGCGAAGGTGACTTGCATCTCGTCACCCTCGATGTGACGGGCCCTGATGGCATCGTTAGACTCGTCCTACCATCTTAAAGGGAATCTTCATCGGTTCCCTTGCCCCTTAAGATGCCAATCTTTAAGGTTTCGACTCGACGCATGTGCGTCGGCCCACCCATCCACTCCTGAGATCCTTGCTGCTGTAGCAAGGCTATTTTCTATCGTTCAACGGCAAGTTCTTCTTGTTATAACTTGTTGAAGCAGCCTGTTGCTGGTCTCTGCTTAGAGATTCCAACATAACACTGATGGCGGGGTCGCTCATGAGCAAACTCATGCGGCCGACTACCTCCCATTCTGAATCACTCAGATGGGAGTAGCCTCCACGTGTGGCGTGAACGCAGTCGTCTTCTACTTCCAACATGTTTATGGTAAACGGACACTAAGTAGTCGTTGGACGGACTAAGAAGTGCTACCAGGTGTAATGGGGCACTCTATGTCTGGGTGCCGCGAAACTTCACGTACACTAGTACGTGCAGAGGAAGCTAAGATACTTGAACGACTCGGTCAAGTTAAGGTAAAACGAGAACTGTATTTAATATTGTTAAGATATCAATGTAACCGTAATCTATATCTTACTATGTTAAACTACGCCGTCCTATGACGACAACCTGCTCACCACTGATTGCGCGCGTCTAGCAGCGATTGGTGGGAATCTATGGTTGATATGTCCTATATCGACCATTCTTGGAGCAGCATTTGAATATAATCCAAAAGGGAATAACAATCCTTCAACATTATCCAACCCGGATAATATCGGTAGAACGTTGTCATGCTAGACAAAATTCCTATTGACACCGTTTGGTGTCAACTTCATGTAACGGGAAAGCCCATTACATGAATAGCATGGACACCAACATGGAGAAAGACGAGGTGATATGCTTGGTCTGCGTGATTCGAAGATAGAAGATAACTCTATTTTGAACCTGTATGAGTACCACGGGACTGCGGACGCATCGTATAAAAAGGTCTTGAGCGCCTTTATGGAGCAAGAAAAGGAAGAATGCAGCAATAGTGGATGCTCGTAAATACATACTTCAGTAATAAGCGCGAACATCAACTTCACATATAGCGACAAATTGGAGTACGCATCGTGGGGAGCTAGCTGTATCAGCATAAGAGTAAGTACGTCCAAATAGGAGATCCACGCAGCTCGTGCAGCTTGAGAGCTTTCATCTATGCCCACCAGAAGATTGTGGTGAAGACAACGAATACATTGACAGACGCTTTGTCTTGTGCATATTGATGGATGTCAGAGGGGAGAAATTCTGTCGAGGAAGCTTGAAGAGCAAGCAGGAGGTCTGCACAGGAAGTGTCGACAACTTGAGTAGGAGAAGGCCGATTCGAAAGTGTGTGTTAATCGGATTTTATTCTACTTGCACCCTGATGTAAATGGTGTCCACAAATTAACATTGTAGGTCTTTCAATCAAGCCGCTCGTCGGATGATGTCTGATGTCATTACCGTAAGAATGATGCCGTAAATATCACGCTTCAAGTTCGGATCGAAAGCGTAGCCTACAGTACTACACGAAGCTGCTCACATAATCTCATCGAGACCGGTGTGTCACGTTGTGACCGGAAACATCGCCGGCTTTCGTCACCTGCTGGCGCATGAGGGTGCCCTGAATATACCAGCGCTTCACTCTCAAGGTAGCCGGAATGGCGTGGATGCACTTCAAGAAGTTTTACGGTGTCTGGCGCAAGGCAGGAATGATGACGCAATCCACTTGAGACGTTGAAAGAAGAATAAGAAGCGATTGGAGAAAAAACAGATCTTACTCTGCCCGAGCGGCTACGATGTCCTCCTCCAATCATTGTTGCATTTAATCGTATTGCTCGTCCAAAATGTTCTATTTGTCCAACAATCTAAGGAGCAATTACCATGAACAATGATGCCGTCAACTTGCAGTCCGCATTGAGCTAGCTAGACTACCCCGAACGGTTCGAAATAGGTAGCTCTACATATCAGGCGACAGATATTCAGTACGGACTAATGGGTGGATGACTAGTGTTACAACATTGCAACTAACTCTTGAACAACTCCGTCAAGATGAATAGTATGGACACCAACATGGAGAAAGACGTGGTGATATGCTTAATCCGCGTGATTCGAAGATGCAAGATAACTCTATTCTGAACCTGGATGAGTATCACGGGACTGCGGACGCATTGTATTGAAAGGTCTTGATGAGTGACCTGATGGAGAAAAAAAGGAAGAAGGCAGCAATAGTGGATGCTCGTAAATACATACTTCAGTTATAAGCGTGAATCTCAACTCCCCTGTAGAGCCAAAGTGGAATACACATCACGGAGAGCTAGCTGTATCAGCATAAGAGTAAGTACGTCCATAGAGGAGATCCACGCAGCTTGTGCAGCTTGAGTGCATTCATCTATGCCCACTGAAAGATTGTGATAAAGACGACGAATACATTGACGAACGCTTGGTCTTGTGCATATTGATGGATGTCAAAGGGAGGTATGCCTTGTCGAGGAAGCTTGAAGAGCAAGAAACGAAGTCTACTCAGGAAATGTAGAAGACTTGGGTAGGATAAGGTCGATTCGAAAGTGTTGGTTCATTGGAGTTTATTCCTCTTGCATCATGATGTAAATGGTGTCCACAAATAAACTATGTAGGTCTTTCAATCGAGCTGCTCGTCTGATGAACACTGATGTCATTACCGAAAGAAAGATGCCGTAAATACTACGATTGAAGTTCGGATCGAAAGCGTAACCATCCATACTATAAGCAGCCGCTCACATAAGCTCATCGAGACCGGTGTGTCACGTTGTGACCGGAAACATCGCCGGCTTTCGTCACCCGCTGGCGCATGAGGGTGCCCTGAACATACCAGCGCTTCACTCTCAAGGTAGCCGGAATGGCGTGGATGCACTTCAAGAAGTTTTACGGTGATTTGCAGAAGGCAGGAAGGATGGTCAAATCCCAGTGAGACGTTGAAGGAAGAATGAGAAGCGATTGGAGAAAAAAGGAGATCTCAATCTGCCCGTGCGGCTACGATGTCCTCCTCCAATCATTGTTGCATTTAATCGTATTGCTCGTCCAAAATGTTCTATTTGTCCAACAATCTAAGGAGCAATTACCATGAACAATGATGCCGTCAACTTGCAGTCCACATTGAGCTAGCTTGGATACCCCGAACGGTTCGAAATAGGTAGCTCTACGTATCAGGCGATATATATTCAGTACGTACAAATGGGTGGATGACAAGTGTTACAACATTGCAACAAGGTCCTGAACAACTCCGCCATGATGAAGAGTATGGACACCAACATGGAGAAAGACGTGGTGATATGCTTAATCCGCATGATTCGAAGATGCAAGATAACTCTATTCTGAACCTGGATGAGTATCACGGGACTGCGGACGCATTGTATTGAAAGGTCTTGATGAGTGACCTGACGGAGAAAAAAAGGAAGAAGGCAGCAATAGTGGATGCTCGTAAATACATACTTCAGTTATAAGCGCGAATATCAACTTCACATATAGCGACAAATTGGAGTACGCATCGTGGGGAGCTAGCTGTATCAGCATAAGAGTAAGTACGTCCAAAGAGGAGATCCACGCAGCTCGTGCAGCTTGAGAGCTTTCATCTATGCCCACTGAAAGATTGTGATGAAGACAACGAATACATTGACGAACGCTTGGTCTTGTGCATATTGATGGATGTCAAAGGGAGGTATGCCTTGTCGAGGAAGCTTGAAGAGCAAGAAACGAAGTCTACTCAGGAAATGTAGAAGACTTGGGTAGGATAAGGTCGATTCGAAAGTGTTGGTTCATTGGAGTTTATTCCACTTGCATCATGATGTAAATGGTGTCCACAAATAAACTATGTAGGTCTTTCTATCGAGCTGCTCGTCTGATGAACACTGATGTCATTACCGAAAGAAAGATGCCGTAAATACTACGATTGAAGTTCGAATCGACAGCGTGACCATCCATACTACAAGCAGCCGCTCACATAATCTCATCGAGACCGGTGTGTCACGTTGTGACCGGAAACATCGCCGGCTTTCGTCACCCGCTGGCGCATGAGGGTGCCCTGAATATACCAGCGCTTCACTCTCAAGGTAGCCGGAATGGCGTGGATGCACTTCAAGAAGTTTTACGGTGATTTGCAGAAGGCAGGAAGGATGGTCAAGTCCCAGTGAGACGTTGAAGGAAGAATGAGAAGCGATTGGAGAAAAAAGGAGATCTCAATCTGCCCGTGCGGCTACGATGTCCTCCTCCAATCATTGTTGCATTTAATCGTATTGCTCGTCCAAAATGTTCTATTTGTCCAACAATCTAAGGAGCAATTACCATGAACAATGATGCCGTCAACTTGCAGTCCGCATTGAGCTAGCTTGGATACCCCGAACGGTTCGAAATAGGTAGCTCTACGTATCAGGCGATATATATTCAGTACGTACAAATGGGTGGATGACAAGTGTTACAACATTGCAACAAGGTCCTGAACAACTCCGCCATGATGAAGAGTATGGACACCAACATGGAGAAAGACGTGGTGATATGCTTAATCCGCATGATTCGAAGATGCAAGATAACTCTATTCTGAACCTGGATGAGTATCACGGGACTGCGGACGCATTGTATTGAAAGGTCTTGATGAGTGACCTGATGGAGAAAAAAAAGGAAGAAGGCAGCAATAGTGGATGCTCGTAAATACATACTTCAGTTATAAGCGCGAATCTCAACTTCACATATAGCGACAAATTGGAGTACGCATCGTGGGGAGCTAGCTGTATCAGCATAAGAGTAAGTACGTCCAAAGAGGAGATCCACGCAGCTCGTGCAGCTTGAGAGCTTTCATCTATGCCCACCAGAAGATTGTGGTGAAGACAACGAATACATTGACAGACGCTTTGTCTTGTGCACATTGATGGATGTCAGAGGGGAGAAATTCTGTCGAGGAAGCTTGAAGAGCAAGAAGGAGGTCTGCACAGGAAGTGTCGACAACTT